GATCTGATTGAATATAATGATAGAAAAACATAGTCATAATCATACCCTCAGTGACAATCAGGGAAGGGACTGCCTCCACACACCTTCGCTCCTGTGGAATGGATGACCCTTGTGACACCCTTGATCTACTGGTGTCAACACCATCATCAATGCCAGATATTGAAGACTGGGGAATTAACTGGAAGATCTGAAGTTTAATATTGACAGATTTAGAAGAATTTTTAGAAAATATTCTTACGTCAATTTACATTACAGGTGCAATTTGATAATTTTCATAGCATTTACACATAAAAACAAAATACTGGATCAATTTGTTGAAAGAAAATTAAATAAAGATTCTTTGACTTGATATTAATTCATTTTTTAACATTAAAGTAACAGTTGAAATTACACTTTGATTCATAATCTATTATCAATAGAAAGACTGGAACTGAACACATGAACAATGATACAGAAGATATAAAACATTAACATGCAACCACTTATTACTTCATACTAGGAGACCTAACCTAAAACACTACTTGATAACACATTGTGCAGTAGTGATGGGATTCGAACCCATTATCTCCCTAGACAGTTAAAGACACACAGGGTATAGTCACTTAAAAACACACAGGGAACTGCCAGAAAAAAAAACCCACACAAGATATTAACAGATAAAAACACACAGGGTACAGCCACTTAAAAACAAACAGGGAGTTGACAGTTAAAACACACAAGGTATTGACATTTAAAACACACAGGGTATGAACAGGGAAGAACTCAGTCATTTCCACATTAGGTGCACTTGTTATTTCATACTTACCATATACCATGATTACCTAGTTCACACAGTTAGTCACATACACACCAAAGACATCACTTTACACAGAAAAGGTGAAACACATGGGGAGTTTTCATGCATTTACCTTATTATTTACAAAGTTTATATTCTAAAACACTACCGTTTTGTCTATATATATATACAAAGGCATCAGCTGCAATAAAATACCCATTCATGTCCACAGTATTTTCCTTTTTCAAAGGGCTTTCATAAATATGAACAACTTTAACCTGTCTATATTCCGGATGTTGAATATGCTGTCTGTGGATTCGAATACGGGTACGGAGAGTAGTTCCAGTCTCACCGATGTAAAATGTAACAAGAGGCCCATGGGCCACATCGCTCACCTGAGCACATTGGCTAGGAAAAAGAACAAATCAGTTCAGTATTGAAAAGTTAAAATGGGTGGGTTGAATTTTAAACTACCTGAGGATGCTTCCATATCAATATAATAAATGGCTTTGCTGTTCTTGAGCAGCAGATTTTTTCCTATATATTTCCTTGTTCAAAATTTGATCCCCAATTGTGGCCCTCCAATCCCACCTCCGGGGGGGGGGGGGGGGGGGGGGGGGTCATTTGAACAAACTTGAATCTACTCTACCTTAGGATGCTTCCAATATGACTAAACATGGCTTTTCTGTTCTTGAAAAGATATTTTTCAATATATTCCTATGTAAAACTTTGATCCCCCATTGTGGCCCCAACCTAACCCTGGGGGTCATGGTTCGAACAGAGTTGAATCTACACTATCTGAGAATGATTCCATATCAATATGACTTAACAAAGCTTTGCTGTTCTTGAGAAGAAGATTTTTCAAGTTTTTTTTTCCTATATATTCCTATGTAAAGCTTTGATCCCACATTGTGACCCCACCCTACCCTCTGGGGTCATCATTTGAACAAACTTGAATCTACACTACCTGAGGATGCTTCCATATCAATATGACCAATCATGGCTTTGCAATTCTTGAGAAGAAGATTTTTAAAGATTTTTTCCTATATATTCCTATGTAAAACTTTGATCACGCATTGTGACCCCCCCCCCCCCACCCCTGGGGGTCATGATTTGAACAAACTTGAATCTACACTACCTGAGGATGATTCCACATGAGTTTCATCTTTCCTGGCCCAGTGGTTCTTGAGAAGATTTTTAAAAGATGCTATTAATTTTTCACTAATTTGTAATTATCTCCTTTTGGAAGAGGGCATGGCCCTTCATATGAACAAAATTGAATCCCCTTTACCCAAGGATACTTTGTGGCAAGTTTGGTTGAATTGGCCCATTGGTTCTTGAGAAGTCAAAAATGTGAAAAGTTTACAGACAGACGGACAGCTAGACAGACAGACGGACGCCGGACAAAATGTGATCAGAAAAGCTCACTTGAGCCTTCGGCTCAGATGAGCTAAAAAGTGGTGGAAAGAAGAGAAAAACATTTCATTAAATCTTTAAAACCAACTTTGAACAGTTTAGTGTAATTTATTTCATATTTGTATAATTCAATCATGCTTTTGCTTTTTTACCGAATTTTCATTGTGACGTCATTGTGTTGGTAATGTCATTACAATAACATTTTAACGTCAAATGTTTGAAGTAAAACGTCTGAAGAATTTGAAATGAAAGCGCTAACGTTTTACAACTTGTGTTGTCATTTTTTCTTTTTTTTAAATATTTATTGCCGAACACTGTGATAATTATATAATTTATTATACATTTTGGATATATATGTATATATATATATATATATATATATATATATATATATATATATATATATATATATATATAACTCTGATTTAAGGACTAGGGAGACCAGACCATTATATATGGCTTAAGGAGACAATATACAGATTTTTTAAATTTGCTTTTTTCTGAAAAGAAATACCAGATCAAAGATCTATAGAACACCATTTAGTCGACTCTTGCTTTATTTTTTCATAATAAATGCCTCCTAAAAATATATGAAAAAAATGGTCTCCTTAATATTTTATGTTTCTCTCATATGACTTAAGGAGACCAGTGTATATTTTTATAAATATAACTTGTGGTTTAAGTAGACCATTTTTCTTTCATAGTAATTTCACTTATTATGCATTAATTAACATATTGTTTCCAACCAGAATAGTTGCGGATGGTCATTAGTCAAGGTCAGCAGAAAGATATTTGTGCTAATGTGACTCAACATGATCAGTACAAAACTTTGAATTAAACTAAAGTCATTGCACAAGTGACTTAAATAGAGAGTAGTTGCCCCAGTGGCACAGTGGTTAGAGCGTCTGCTCTAGAGTAGCGAAGTAAGGAGTTGATCCTTACGTCACAGGTTCAAATCCCACTGTGGGATGGGGAGACCGGTCCTTCAGATAAGACCGTATAAATCGAGGTCCTGTGTCGCAGTAGGTGCTGGCACGAAAAAAAACCCTCGATGCTCAATGGCCGTAAGTGCCGAGTATAGGACAAAATTTGCAGATCTCCACCGGCATGTGGTGGTGTCTCCATATGAGTGAAAAAATCTTGAGAGGAATGTTAAACAACATACAATCAATCAATATATAGAGAGTATAAGCCCAGAGTAGCTTGTTCTGATATCCACATTTAACTCTCAATGCTGTCGCCCACGTGGTGCAGTGGAAAGAGCCTATGCTCTAGAGTCGTGGAGTTAGTTGATCCTTTTGTCACTTGTTTGAATCCCACTGTGGGACGTAGAGACCGGTCCTTCATACAAACAGAGGTCCAGTGTCGCAGTAGATGCTGGTATGAAAAAGATCCCTCACTGCCCATTGGCCCTGAGTGCCGAGCATAGGTCATTTGCAGCTCTCCATCGGCATGTGTTGGCATCTCCACATGAGTGAAAAATTCTCCAGAGGGACGTTAAACAACAAACAAACTCTCAACGCCCAAAACAGTTTAACCTAAAAGTGAATGCAGACACAGATTATTCTTTAGACCAAGTATAGTATACTCCATATTGTTTTGTTGAGGACAGAAAGTTCACAGTGGACATCAAGTAGTTTTTCCTGCTATTTATACCCAGCTTCTTTTAAACCATATAGTCACTGAGTGCATTCGCTTTTCCAAATAATTGATGAAGTTCTGACCTATGCCTATATTTGTTTAAATTCTTTCTGATTTAAGAATACATTTGACCAGTTGAAACCAAGAGTACATGTACTACATAAAATTTCAAGGTTGTGATTAAGATTCAGTAAAAGTCATGCCCCATCCAGTATAGCAATATGTGGATGCCATGTTCAATATACATATTTGCTATCATTAAACTTGCAGAGACCATAAATCAAAATAATTCAAATGCTTAAAAATCATTTTATTTTTACTGCTAGTCAAAATACAGTCACTCAAGCATATCCTTTGTTAATTTGAAAAAAAAATGATAGTTTAACATTTATTATTAATACCATACCAAAGCACACGATAGTGCACTTCTTACATAATCCAATGATTCATGCTGTGATTTTACCTATTTAGATGCTTCTTATTTACAGTTCAGTATACATGATATACCAGTACAATGTGACACTAACCTAGTATCAGTTAAATGGATCATTACTATTCTGTTTTTAAGAAGTTTGCAGGGTAAAAAGTATAATAAAATAAAAATGTTGATACATTTATTGATTGCATATGCTAAAAACTTTTATAAAATATCAAACATTGTATCATAACAGCTTTTTTAATTCAATACATTCAAAGGTACAAAAATCAAATTATTTTCATCCACAGTTTTATCATATTCAGTTGAACAACAGCTACATCTATTATATAAAATGTATGGTAGTTGGCACTGATGGTATATATATCCTGAGCAAAGAAAAAACATACCTAATCAAAGAATACAAAGCTCACTTCTATACATGTTATCTACTAGTAAGGCAATGTCTCACTCAACAAACAGTTTGGTAATGTATATCACCTGGATCCAAAATCTATGCAAGTTGGTCTGGGTTAGACTTAACTGCTCAATATACATCATCTATGTTTACTGATCACCAAAGAGTATATTGTTACTTTGAATGAACCTTCTCTAAAAAACTGGTCATTAATCCAGAAAATCTAAGTCAAATCAAGGATTGGTACCCTGAAACATTTACATGTACATACATCATCTTTGCAGGTTTGTTCAACATAGAGTTTATAATTACATGAGAATAGGACTGCTCAAAACACTTAATCTTGTGGAGTCTCCCATGTGGCGCAAAGGATAGAGTTTGTAATCTAGAGTCGCAAGTAAGGATTTAATCCTTAAGTCTCAGGTTCAAATCCACTGGGGATGTGGGGACCAGTCCTTCAGATTAGACCATATAAACCGAGGTCCCGCCTAGCAGTTGATGTGGGCACAAAAAAGATCCCTTACTGCTCAAGGCCCTGAGTGCAAAGTATAGGTCAAATTTTGCAGTTCTCCACCAGCAAGTAGTGGCATCTCCATATGGATGAAAAATTCTTGAGAGGGATGTTAAACAACAAACAAACAAAAACAAAAAAACACATGAGGAAAATGTAGATCAGGTCAAGCATCTGAAGTAAATCTGTTAATGTGCTTTAATCCATGCAAGTTTGTCCAGGTAGACCTTAGGAATGAACCTTGCTCCTTAAATTTTAACTGGGATGACAATGCTAGGTATATGTATATAGTAAGAACTCATCTAGACTGTCCAGAAAATCTAAAAAATATTTAGCAATTTCTTACTTGCATGATTTAAAAAAATCTGCAATCTAACATTATTTCAAAAAAAATTTCAACACATTTTCTAATTTTCAACAAATTCAATGCACTATGAGACGATTTAACATTTCTTAACCACAAACACTGTACTTAAAGTGCAATATACATGCATTATACTGTATGTTAAATCTTTACAGTTTTCTTCAAGTACTCTAATAGTATATGAAATATGAAGATTACCAACAGTGATCAAGCTTTAAAGTCCATTGAAACAATACATAATTAGAGCAGAGCAAACACAGACCTCTAAAAACACCAGGTGCAATGGAGGAGAAAGCATTTCCTGCCATGTGCTCCTTGACATGATTGGGCAAATGGAAAAATCCACAAACAATTCAGTGTAAACAATTTTGATGAAAAACATTAGTCAACATTCAACTTAATGATCGATTGAATTTGCTATAACACTTAATTTACACGTAAGTGTACACACATGTATGCATACTAGATGAATTATTTCACAATATCCAAAATTGGACAATAATAGTTTCTAATCTAGCTAGACAACAGGAAATTTTCATTATTACTTAAATTTCATGAAACTATTGAAGTCTATGAGATACAAATTATATCTAAAAATTATACACATTTTAACAAGTGTTTACAGTTTAGTGTATTTATTACACACAAATGATGACTTACTAGTAAAGTCCACAGATTGACTTCCAGATTTCAGCTCAAAGGCTTGAAGATTTTTAGTGGCTCATTCATCATTTTTTTTTCACTGAATATTTTCATTTTTATTTTCAAGACGCTGTTTTTGTTGAGGTCTTTTAGCAGTTTGATGCAATCCAAGAACTCCAAGGGCAATTTAAGAACTCCTGAATTTCTTTCTTACCTGGAAAAAATAAAAATTTAAAAGTTTAAAATATATTCAACTTACATGAATAAAACTAGTGATAATGTAATAGACCTTTCAGATGTTCCAAAGCAGCTACATGTATCTAATTAAAAAATATAAAGTTTGAAGTATTTAGAGTCACCTGTATTCTGAACAAGGGATATGTGTACTTGACAGACAGATGAATGAATAGACTGATCACTATAGAGCACCTTAGTCTTTTTTCAATAATCTTTATATTAGTGAAAATCAAATAGGAACTACAGTGTTTCAAGGAATGTATATGTCACCTGCTAGGTATCGTCATTAAAGAGGTAAATAAATCTAAGAGTGGTCAGCTATTAATTTAATATTAGCATGGACGTTCAAGCATTTGCCTGCAAGGAAAAAAAAGATCCAAAAGTATTTAAAAGACTGGGATAGAATCTGGCAATCAAAGAAAATATGGTTCCCCAGTCCTCAAATGAATAATTTAATTGAAATTATGAGGAATAACTATTTATCATTTTATTAATACACATGTAGGTGCTTCCAACAATCCTCGGAGGAAAGGAATTTCAGACTGTCTTTACTTTAATTGTCACTTTGTCAGTCAACATGATTCATTGTGGAATACAGATCCCAATGTATTTTCATAGTATTTAAATATAATTTTGTGTGGTAACTGAATTTCATACAGTTTTAAAGTATAGTATCATGAGCTCAAAAACATATATAAATGCTAATTATCAAAACCCTGCCTCTCAAAATTATGGAGATATAAGGTGTGACAGACGGACAGACAGACACCAGGTAAAGTGATCTCTAAGTGTCGTTCTGCTCTGCAGTTGACACAAAAATGAAAGTCAATTTTTGACCATGTATATCACTTCAGTGATGAAAGGAATGCTGAAGTGGTAAGTCTATCCTAATTATTTGAAAATACGGCAACCCCATTGGTCAGAATATAATACATATGCTGTCCAGCCTTAATTTCATTGGCATAAAGCAGCACAAAATACGATTTTATTGGATGGTGCTTGTTTTTCTAGGGGGCGCTGTTGCAACCCTGGAAAAGAAAACAGGACTGGGGCTTGCCCCTAGGGGGCACTTACTGACCGGAAGTAAACAAACAACAGAAATAGCAATACACTAGAAATATGTCCATAGGACATGTATGCCCGCCGAGTTTATAGTAATGCAACATGAAATTTTGTGTTAGTGTATGAAGTTTGATGAGAATATCTTGAAAAGTTTCTTTGAAATTGAAATCTAAGAAAAATGGATATAGATGATAAATTCTCACCAAATTATGTATAGATGCATAGCCTTAGATATCAATATTTTAAATGGTTTTAAAACCATGCAAAATGCAAATTGAAGGAAAGTGAGGTCAAGGTCACAGGAAAGGTCAAAAGTTTTTGAAATAGTTGAATAGGTCTTACTAATTATATATGTATCAGCATATTAAGTTTGATAAAAAATATCTTGAATGATTTCTTTAAAACTGAGCTAGTCACAAGCGTGGCGCCATGGTTAGAGCGTTTGCTCTAGAGTCGTGAAGTAAGGAGTTGATCCTTATGTCGCAGGTTTGAATCCCACTGTGGGACATGGAGACCAGTCCTTCGGATGAGACCTTATAAACAAAGGTCCCATGTCAAAGTAGGTGCTGGCATGAAAAAGACCCCTCACTGCTCAATGGCCATGAGTGCAGAGTATAGGACAGAATTTGCAGCTTTCCACTGGCAAGTGGTGGCGTCTCCATGAGTGTAAAATTCTCGAAAGGGACTGCAGATTACCTGTAATGATTGACCAAAATCCCTACTAGGCTTTAAACTCTTCATTCTTGACCTGTATTTCGTCAAATAAGATTTTTCCAGTTAATTAAGGTAAAATTACTTATTGTTAAAACTGTAAATTTTTTTTTTTTTTTTTTTTTTTACCTGAGCCAGATTTTTACTTTTCTTAAAAGTGTCTGTATTTGACTGTTGGTTCAACCTATCTCAAGGAAATAATCTGTAATAGTAAATGTTAGAAATCATGTTCTCTATCTACTATAATCACGAGAAAAGGTGTTGAAAATTAACAGATGGAGATAAAATCAGCATTCATATTAAAGGCTTTTTTTCAATAATCAATTTATTAGTGAAAATCATAAAAGTATTAGGCAAAAAGGAAAAACAAATGTTGTCATTAATTAACCTTGCATATCTCTACAATTTTCTGATAAGAAAATTATACCCGATAGATGCAATATAATCACCCTTTGCCTGCCCCTAAATTAAATTATGAAATTTTGATAGATTTTGATCTAGTAAGCAATTATTTAAAACAAGGTTTTTTCAGAGGTGCCTAGGGTCGAAATTCATAGAAAAAAACCTACAAAAAAGTGAAAACCTATTTCTATCATACTGGTTTATATTTATTACAAATGTCCTCATAGTCAGCATAGCCCAGAATGATAGACCGCAGACTCTCACCATGAACATTTTTAGTGTCCTGGTTCGAAACCATTTTTTGGCACATTTTTATTTTTTCAAACTTTTTACCTGTATAAACACTAAAGAACGAGTGCACTTATGGGCCCCGGTAAAATGTGAAAAAATGAAGAATTAAATTAAGCATAATTTTCCATCTCAGATCATTAATTGATATCTAAACCATAAGATTCAACAAATTTTATCGCTGAAATTCATGAATATACAAAGAGCAAAGCCATACAATGTGGTAGGGGTCAGCCGACATTCGTGATTTTCTATAGTAAATCGAGGACGGTCAATCATTTCAAAGCTTTTGTTTATTGTCAGCCTAACATTGTACAAACTTGTGTGATTGACAAAAAATGCATTATACATTTATAAAACTTGTGTGAAAGTAGGAAATTTGTACATGATTAGGCTTGAACTTAAAATATTAAAAATGTATGAAAAGTTCAATGTTTTTCCTATAACAAGCAAGAGCTATTTACCTGTATGACCTATGTTGAACCCACTCGTGGAATAAATTATTTAAAATACTGGTAGTCACGTGAGTTCTACCCAGGTAAACATTCCTCAAAGATGCTCACTGTAAAACATAACCACGTTTTGTATCATTATATCGAAGTCAAGCCGCATAGAGAAGTTTGTATGTATTTGGTTTTAGGAACACGGGATGGTTAGGAGAGTTTAGTGTCGTTAAAATGTCATCATAAATAAAAGTGTCAAACATTTTTAACATTCATGCAAGACAATGGTACTGGTATTGAAAGCCACCTAAATACACTTTTTTCATTTTGAAATTTAAAGGAACTAATGTTAATACTTATTGTATTATTTCAAATGCAAGCATGCAAATTTCTTAGTTTGTTCACTATGGATACAGGTATCTATACAACTTCATTCTATTTTTTTCTCGGGTAAAATAGTACAAGAAGTATCATTCGGCAAACGCGCCTGTCAATGATCCACCATCAGATTGTTCAAGTGTCTGATTTAAATGTCTCCTCCCCTTGATTTAAATAAATGAAACTCAAAATAGGTTCGGTACGACTTTTCCGGATTTGGGGTATCTATAGGCATTTAAAAAACTTCATTTGTTTCAAATCCATGCTGATTTAGGTGATGTTTTAATGTGAATTTAATTAGAAATGTAAACTTGTATTTAACTATTACCAAAAGAGAACAATTTGGTAATACATTCTAAAGTAATATGGCACTGAAAAAGGGCCCATTAAGCATTGCTTAAGTGCACTTGTCCTTTGATTTTTTAATACAGGCTTTTGCATTTTACTTAATATATTTTCTTCCTTAAATGCATGTTTGGTGTTGATATAAAAGACATCTATGGAAATGCAGATCATAAATTCTCTTTAACTAAACGCAATCAACCGGAACTAAACCTCATTGTAAGCACACTTTGTTCGAGGACATGAATCATTCGCTTTGTGTTACTCGATAATGCAGGTGTCACGAAAAAAAAATCATGTCGAGCAATAATTGCTGTGTTTGCCTTTCAAGAACATAATGACGTGTAATAGTACTGTTGTGCCAGTGGGAGAGATACTGTTCTATGCAGAGTAGATGCAGTTCATTCCTCGTGAAAAATGTGTGCATTGGCGATATGTTATGCTAAAAATGCATGAGGGTTTTCAGATTAGAAAAGAATGTGGTAAGGTCAGTTAAGGTTTTATGTCCCATTGCCATTACTCAGTCAGACATCAAGAATGACCCTCAAACAAAGGATGTATCATTCTGTAAGGTAGGATCACATGAACACACAGTTGAGTAGAATGAAATATATCGAGATAACAATCAGTATTCAAGCTCAAAAGCCCATCAAAAAATACAAAATAGGAGCAGAGCGGACCTCCAAAACATCAGAGGTGGGATCAGGTGCCATGGAGGAGTGAGCATCCCCTGCAGACCAGTCACACCCGCTGTGTGCTCCTTGTCACGACTGGGAAACAATAGAAAAATCCATACACAATACAGTGTGTAAATAATGGCCTAACAATAAGCATGAAAAACGTCAGTCAGCATTTTACTTAATGATAAATTGTATTTGCTGACAAGGTCATTGTATCGACCATAGAACTTACAAAATGATGACTTTAAACAAGACTGCTGATATTCTTGTTTCAGCAATTTGTTTGTCAATAACTTACCTCCTTTTAAAAATTGTTCATACATAGAGGATGCTCTTGCGTATCGAATCAACTGAGAGATATAAACCCCGTATGCAGGTGATGAAGGTATATTGCTGAATAAGTAAGGGAAGTTGACGATTGAAAAGTTATCACGTTTATCATAAAGCTTGGTTGTTAGATTACCATTAATGTAGAACTTATCTAAAGCAATACATGAGAAACAAGAAACTACACACATGTGACCTAAAGTCAGTGACCGGAACATATATCGGTAAGCTTTTTCTAAAGACTGAAACCAATATTGGTCCTAAAGGTCATCTCATATTTTTAACTAGAAGTGTTCCTTTGATATACTATATTTTACTTAATTTCTATAGACTTACTATACCCTGAAAAAAGAAGGAAAACAGGAACTACCTGTTTAAATGACCCCGACCACCGAGGTTAATCTAAAGTTTGTCCCTGCCTACCTGAAAAACAGACTGCCTCGGACAGTCAGTAATTTCCAACTCTGGTTTTTAGATGCTAAATGTTTAATATTTACAATTAAATGCTTATATTTACATTTTTAAATTCATGATAGATTGAGAAAGTCGATAAAATCATTTCTATATTAAGTCTGTATACTGTATAGGGGGAAAATAACTCGCGGTGTTAATATTCGCTATTTTCACGGTGTGAATAAATCCGTGAATTCAAGAAACAGTGAATAAGTTTTCAATAACCTACATGTTATATTTGGAAATTTGAGAATAGACTACGATATGTAAATATACGTGCAGTGCATGGTCATTTCAGTAATTACGAATCGTACCTGTCATTCAATTATTTTAATTATCACGCTTGACATTAATTTAGATCACCCAGCAGATAATAACCTGTATTTGTAAAAAAAAAAAAAAAAAAAACTGTTTTAATAGCCAACGCTACATGTTTCATCAATCAAAACACTAGGGTCATGGGTTTTGAATACCCGTACGTAACTATGTTACGACGTGTATTTGTTACCTGCATTATCATGTTTTTATCGACATTTTGGTTTTAAAAAATCATTTAAATAACTATCGAACTTGCTGATGTATATATAAATCTACCCTGTTGTTCGTGAAGTGAATACATAACGCTGATTAATGCCTTCTAGCTATGCTATGTATTAAACAGATATAGACATTGAAGGGAGGTACATGTAACCTTAGTTATATACCGATTCCGCAAATTCAACAAACCGCGATCGTGTCAGAGGAGAGAAAAACATGAAAATTACAACCCCTGAAATTATCCCCTTTACAGTACTTCAACCGAGAAATTAGTTGAAACTGGTTCCAGAAAAGAAGCTGAAAATGTTCAATAGTTTACAGACAATACTTGACACATGATGACTGAACAAGAACAGATAGCAATAAGTAATTTAAATGACTCAGGTGAATTATAACCTGTTCAATCTTAGATCCATCTTTTTTCTAAAACGAGGGTTGATCCAAAAGTTCATGGAATTTAATTATTTCTAAAATTTTATTGTGATTTGATGAAAGCAAACAATAGGCATATTTATAATATAGAGTCATTATGCAACAATACTGGAAAATTTCACCACGTTCCAATTACCAATAAGGTCACATGAGCTTTCTGAACACTGATAGTTGTAAAATCCGGGGGAGACTTCGACGTAACGTCAAGTTAAGTATGTCATGTCATGTTATAGGAGCATCTCACCCTCATGTTCAATTCAACTAAGTAATTCTACAGAATATTCTGCCTTTTTCTCCTTTTTTCTCTCAAGAAAAGCCTGGGTATCCACCAATCGACTTATCTTTATATTACACTCATATTTTAAAAATACTCCCCATCTTTCCATATGATGTTCGAATTTCAGTAGCAAAGTCAAGCACAGTACGTCGGCGGTCATTTCATCCATCAACGCTTAATTTGTCTACGAGAAAAACAGACCCTCCAAAAGCAGCCACACCTTTAATCAACCTCCATGGAAGTTCTATTGTTCTTAAATTTTTCACGCCACTGGAAAATCAGTTGCTAAATGCATTTTTCTCCAGCCTGTATCAGTAGTATACCCCTTTAAGTCAGAGTGTTCCTAAGATTTTAACAAAACTTATAACTTGACTGAAATGTGACGTTCTCTAACAATTAAAAGATGAACAAGAAATCATCAACTAATAATCTAAATATCAAGTTAAATCAGTAAAACTCTCACATACAGGTATATTAGTGGTCAAGCAATCGTAATAATGACAAAATTCTCATTTTATTTGCCACTTGGCGCAGGTTTTTTCTGATATCATGCATTAAGAATTAAAATGATAATGAACAAGTAAATGTCTCCCCTGCATTTTAAAACATCCTTTGCTATGGCAACTGCCATAGAGTTACTATCATTAATATTTAAAATATTTTTTTATTAAAAAAAAATCATCAAGTGTCTATATTCTTATTTGTAATTTTCAACCACTTTCACTAATAAATAAATAAAATAAGAAGAAATTCCATGAACTTTCGGATCAATCCTCGTACATGTCAGTCATTAAATTTATATAATATACAGTATGCATAAGGGAGACCAAATGTATTATTACTGCATTAAGGAGACCAACCACTATCCATATGTAAATCAGTATTCAACCACTTTCACTAATGAAAAAATAAAATATGAAGAAATTCCATGAGCATTTGGATCAACCCTCATACATGTCAGTCATTAAATCTATATAATATACAGTATGCATAAGGGAGACCAAATGTATTATTACTGCAATAAGGAGACCAACTACTCTCCACATGTAAATCAGTATTCAACCGCTTTCACTAATAAATAAAAAAAAATATGAAGAAATTAGTGATGAGACATCAGTTAATTTTCATAATCGATCATCGGTTGGAATCGGTTACTGCTTCTGATGCGATTTCACCGATTATAATCGGATTTCTTCATAGTTTTGTATACAAAAAGCAGACTATTACAATAATTTCATTTATTTCTTTAACATGAATATATGAAATACATAATATATTATTTTCTTTGTTGTTTTGCTTCTTTTACACTTTCTAGACCTAAAAATATTTACAGTGGACACCCAACATGGCTGCCTAGCGGCAGAAAACGAACTTCAAGAAGTTGTGGGGGGAATTGATCACTCTATATTTAAGGTAAATGTTGACTAAGTTGCATATTTTATATCTCAAATAAAAGATACAATTAATATTTTTTGAATAAAAAGAATCAGCTGATTGATCAAACCAAAGAGCAAACACAGATTTGGCAGAAAAAAAAATTCACCCGGGGGTAAATTGAATGGGTCGGTCGGGTTATTACAGGAAACAAAAATAATTTTTTTTAGGCCCTATATACGCATCTTCGGTTCTTAATCACCTCTGCTTCGTGCTAGTTGGCTAGTATCAGATGCAGATGCCATTTTCTTTCATTAAGAAGAAATAAATTTTAAACCAGAAAAGGATAATTCCGGAATGTATTGTATTAGAAGTATGTTTCCGATGATCGATTATGAAAAACTATAATCGATCATCGGAATCGGTAGCATTTTTTTGTCGACAATCGATGTTTTCTGATTATCGGTACAACACTAGAAGAAATTCCATGAACTTTTGGATCAACCCTCATACATGTCGGTCATTAAATTTACATAATATACAGTATGCATAAGGGAGACCAAATGTATTATTACTGCATTAAGGAGACCAACTACTATCCACATGTAAATCAGTATTCAAAACTTGAGATTTTAATACCCTAATAATTTACATGTTTAGTTACATGAACTAAATCTATTTACCTTTGTTATAATGCAAGAACTGTTTTACATTCAGCCAACTTTAACATTACACATGCATACAGTGTATGCCATGCATTAGGAAGACCAGATGCATTATTTCAACATTAAAGAAACCAACTACAATGGAACAATTAGACAGTATTCCAAAATGTTCATTCCAATACCATAGTAATTTCCCTTAATTTGTTTGTATCTAGATGACTTAAATCAATTTATCTCAGCCAGAATTGGAACAAAAAAACTAATCATAAAAGTGGCCAAACACATGAACAGACAGACGGACATGATGATTCCTATGCTTATATACACCCAAAGTTGCCAAAGTAGAGCAGATGCAGTGGTTAGAGCGTCTACTCTAGAGTCGCGGAGAAAGAAGCTGATCCTTACATCGCGAGTTTGAATCCCACTGTGGGACATGGAGACCTGTTCTTCAAATGAGACAGAGGTATTAACCGAGGTCCAATGTCACAGTAGGTGCTGGCTCGAAAAAGATCCCTCAATGCTCAATGGTCGTAAGTGCTGAGTATAGGACAAAAATTTGCAGCTCTCCACCGACAAGTGGTGGCGTCTCCATATGAGTGAAAAATTCTCAAGAGGGACGTTAAACAACAAACACTATACACCCAAAACTTTGTTTGCAGAAGATTTTGTGATACATGCTTTACAAGTATACATATTGTTCATAAGGGAATAAAAATGCTATATCATTAAGGAAAGCAACTGAAATTAAATGTGCACTTCTAATTGAACTAAACAAAATTACCCTTTGTCAGAATGTAGATTTATAAACAGGAAGGCTGTTTTTCTTCATTTTTTCCATGTCAGATTCAGACTGTTCTTGAAAAAATTCTGGCATACACCCTGTAAAAGTAAACAGTGCAGATAATAAAGAGCTTCTAAATAAACTGCATAATATTTAAATGATCCACTTAAAAGGGATAACAAATGCATTTAACTCCATCAAGGAGACCAACTGATATCCATATATATATAAATCAGTACATGTATTTTAATTGTGATATTTTAATATCCTAGTAATTTACATGTTTAGTTTCATGAAATAAATCTATTTACCTTTGTCCAATGACCAATGAGCACAAGCACTGATTTTTCCTCTTTTTTCTTAACGGAATCACCAGAGCCAGTCTGCGGTCCATATGATTCTGGCATATGTACACTCTGTAAAATGCATATTTGTACCATGTACAGGCATATGAACAATATTTCTATACTACATACATGCATCATTAAACTTAATAATCTTTTTTTTCCAAAATTCTTTATTCATAGTGTTTTGCTGTTAGCAAAATTCAACAAAAACTATACCATATATATACTTGCCTATAAGGTGGTCCACCTATAAGTCAGTTGTATTTTTTGAGGTTATTTTGGAGGGATTTGCTATTGACCCGCTTATAAATCGGTACAAATTTTTGCCAGAATCAATTGACAATTTCAAATCAATGCTCTGATGTTTTAACCTGGTTTCAAAATACTAATCTTCTTATGACTCACCTATAAGCTGGACATAGAGTATATACAGTACCTGCATTATACATGCATTAGGAAGACCAAATGCATTATTGCAATATTAAAGAGACCATTGTGGCAAATGAAATCAATGTATGAACTGTATTCAAAACTACGGGTGTACTAATTTGTCTGAAGTATATCATGATATAATGTGATACACAAAGACTTTAACAGGATATGTACATACACCCACATGCCTAAATGTAACAACAGGAATTATCGTTCTACAATAATTTATTGAAATTGCCAATATGAATAAACAAAAGCAAACTTTGTTTCGATTGTATGAACTTTAAGTTTTCTTTTTACACCACGGTCAGATAATCTAACTATCCCCCCTGGTTGGCTACCGGGTCCTTCGTTAGACTGCCTTATCAGACATGATATTTACTGTAGATTTGATTTTTGGTACTGACTTTTATACTCAAAATAATGTCTTTAATTGTTTAATTTCTTGAGTTCAATATCACTTTGATGTGTTCAGTGTTTACTTTGATATGTAATGATGTGTATAAGCGTGTATTTTCGATAATTTAAATTTCTAGTACAGTAATCGTCCCCAAGCTGCTGTTTCATTATCGTGTCATAGTATCTCTGAGAGTGCATTTTATTAACACCTCCAAATCACCTGGCCTGCGTAATTAAATTTAACTACCAAAAACAACAGCTTGGGACTAATAAGGTGTGATTATCAGGAATGGTCCCATGAAGCCTGTGCTAGACCTAAGGGAAACGTTCAGCAGACCATAAAATTAGCATAATGGGATTATTGTGTACTAAGGTGTGAATTCAGCGGAGCGAGAATTTGTTGGACTTCGAGATAATGCATGTGTTTATAGCACTTGGGACCGTAAATCTACTTCAAGATAAGCGAGGTATTCGAGATTTCCGTGTTCGAGATACCAGGGTTTTTTAAAATCATAAATATAATAAAAACGGCCGGGACCGTTGATTCACTTCGAGATATCCGTGGTATTCGACATACCGGTGTTCGAGATACCGAAGTTTACCTGAAGTTTACCCCCCCCCCCCCCATCATTTGAACAAACTTGAATCTACACTACCTGAGGATGCTTCCATATCAATATGACTAAACATGGCTTTTCTGTTGATGAAAAGATTTTTTCCTATACATTCCTATGTAAAAATTTGATCCCACATTGTGGCCCCACCCTACCCCTGGGGTTTATGATTTGAACAAACTTGAATCTACACTACCTGAAGATGCTTCCATATCAATATGACAAAACATGGCTTTGCTATTCCTGAGAAGAAGATTTTTCAAGTTTTTTTCCCTATATATTCCTATGGAAAACTATGATCCTCCACTGTGGCCCCACCCTACCCCCAGGGGTCATGATTTGAACAAACTTGAATCTACACTACCTGAGGAAGCTTCCATATCAATATGACAAAACATGGCTTTGTTGTTCCTGAGAAGAAGATTTTTGAAGTTTTTTCCTATGTATTCCTATGTAAAACTTTGATCCTCAATTGTGGCACCACCCTAACCCTGGGGGTCATGATTTGAACAAAGTTAAATCTACACTATCTGAGAATGCTTCCATATCAATATGACTTAACAAGGCTTTGCTGTTCTTGAGAAGAAGATCTTTCAATTTTTTTTTCTGTATATTCCTATGTAAAACTTTGATCACCCCTTGTGGCCCCATCCTACCCCGAGGGGTCATGATTTGATACAAACTTGAATCTTCACTACCTGAGGATGAATCCACATCAATATGACTAATTGTGACTTTGTTGTTCTTGAGAAGAAGATTTTTCAAGATTTTTTTCTATATAATTCTATGTAAAATTTTGATCCCCCATTGTGGCCCCACCCTACCCCTGGGGGTCATGATTTATACAAAATTTAATCTACACTACCTGAGAATGATTCCATATCAATATGACTAATTGTGGCTTTGTTGTTCTTGAGAGAAAGGTTTTTAAAGATTTTTTTTCTATAAATTCCTATGTAAAATTTTGATCCCCCATTGTGCCCCTCCCCCCCCCCCCCCCCGCCCGGGGGTCATGATTTTGTACAAACTTGAATCTACACTACCTGAGGATGCTTCCATATAAATTATGACTAATTGTGGCTTTGTTGTTTTTAAGAAAAACAATTTCAAGATTTGTCCTACATATTTCTATGTACAACTTTGATCCCCCATTGTGGCCCCACCCTACCCCTGGGGGTCATGATTTGAACAAACTTGAATCTGCACTACCTGAGGATAATTCCATATCAATATGCCTAATTGTGGCTTTGTTGTTCTTGAGAAAAAGATTTTTCAAGATTTTTTCTACATATTCCTATGTAAAAATTTGATCCCCCCTTGTGGCCCCATCCTACCCCAGGGGGTCATGATTTGAACAAACTTGAATCTACACTATGTAATGAAGGTCTCACCTAAGTTTCAACTTTTACAGCCCAGTGGTTCTTGAGAAGAAGATTTTTAAAAGATACCACTAAATTTTCACTAATTCTTAATTATCTCCCCTTGAAAGAGGGTGTGGCCCTTCATTTGAACAAACTTGAATCCCCTTTACCCAAGGATGCTTTGTGGCAAGTTTGGTTGAAATTGGCCCAGTGGTTGTTGAGAAGAAGATGAAAATGTGAAAAGTTTACAACAACAACAATAAAGACGACAATGACGACAGACAACGGACAAATTTTGATCAGAAAAGCTCACTTGAGCCTTTGGCTCAGGTGAGCTAAAAATAACTTAATTCCAATACATTTTGGGCAGGCGGTTTTTTAATGTAATTCTGTGAAAAACTTGGGAATTTCAACCATCAAAGATTATATTTACCGGTAACTGTTTTGAATTAAAGCTGTTCAAAAATGACATAATCATTAAGGAGGTAGCACATCTTAATGATTATTACAAAATCATAAAAATACATAGACAACTTTACTTAACATGTTGATTTTACAGTCAAGAAAAGTTTGAATTTGAAGTGTTATTTTTAAAGATGGTGAGACAAAAAATTAAAAATGAGTAAACAACAATTATTATTTTTATAAAATTCATGCGTAATGATTTATAAGACTTTTTTGACAGAATTGTTAAAGAATTCAATATATTGCATATCACATTAAAAAATGTCTTTCTTTTTTTTTTGCTCAATACACAGCCCTAGCAAAAATGATATACAACAAGGACTTTGATTAGATTATTAACATTCATTCGACTAATCATAATTATTAACTGTTATTGCACTTTCATTTTCAAAATGTTGTTTGTTCACTCTTTTGCATTGATATTATAATTTATAAAAGAGTATTTTAGCAGAAAAAATTATCAATTTACCTTTCTTGGAATAAAGACATGTTGACACTTGAGCTGAGATTTTCTCTCTTTCCATAGATTTGTTTCACTGGGGTCCACATGATTCAAGCAGAGACCCTGTAAAAAAGGACTTAACTATGGAAAAGCATGAAGAATATATGCCTATTACACATATGTTAAATTCTAATGAAAACAATGTTTTTTAATTAAGATCCATATATTTCTAATGATTGACATAATACAAATTCAAAATAAAATATGCATGTCTATATTATACACTGTACCTTAAGCAGACCAATTGCATTATTACATCCTTCAGGAGACCATCTTAAATCAATGTTTGAGAACTACTTGTGAGAACAATAAATTTGTCTACTTTACATTACTAAATGTACATGTAATCTATAGCATCATGTTACTTTAATTGACCTGCCCTAGTTCAACACAGTAATCTAACAAAGAAATTGAGCCAAAACAACATTTTAAGACTTTTTGAACAGTGCATGTTAACTATCATTTCAAAACCATTACCAGTAAAAATGCTAAAATAGGAAAATGATGACAATTAATTAATATTGTACTTTCAGGTATATTAGATGAAGTAATCTGATTCGTCAAGAAACATTTGTTAAAAAGCACTATTATCCGCTGAATAATGAAGCCACGCCCAGTGTCGCAACAGTCAACATTGCTTGACGACGGGTGATATTCCAAAAAATAGTGACTGCGCAGATTTATGCGCTCAAGGTTCACTATTATTTGTATTTGTATAAAACATTCAGTATAATATAATAAATATTGCATGTAGTTGAGTGTAATATTGAAAATTTTCACCCCTCGAAAACCAAATACGTCAAAAAGGGGATGGGTTTCTTTTCCAACTTCTACATAGTTTCGCCCCTGCAAAAACTGGTATAGACCTTGGAAATGTTTAAACGGGCTAAGAGAAATCAAATGCATCAAGAGTACTTAATTGTTTTTACCCAAGTTACATGCCAAAAAAGATTCAGAGAGACGTCACATAAAGTTAACGTTGATTTGAACTGAAGTTAGGGTGTCAAAAGTCATTCACGTCCAAAAGTGACATTGATCATGTGTGGTAGATAATAAATTCCTACGAGCTAAATATGCTGCCATAATCAAGTGAGGATCTTTCCCTAATCCTATATATAAATCCATTTACAATATTATATGCACTTAAGCAGCTGTTTATGACATTGTAAAATTATATAAACAAGACCGGTTTATATAATTTATATCAATTTATATAATTAATAATATAATTTGTATAATTTTATCAAGATAAGTGTATGGGGTAGAGGGAGCAGACATTGAGAATCAATGTTGTCGGACCTCGTGAAACTAAACTAACAGTCTTCCAAATAACCCGGGAGTCCAATGCCAGGGACCTGTTAAATTTGCAGCCGGGCATGTAAAAATTGCCAAAATACATGTCTGAAGAGGGCATATGTGAATCTTCTTTCATTGTACGATCTTTACTTGCCATTTATTCTGTCCTTCCCCCGTTATTCGCTTAAACGTTGCTATATGTAATGTCGATAGATTGCCTGTCTACATTCTCGATACGACCTGTCAAATGATTGTCAATCTAATCATTGAAGTGTTTAGTTCAACCGATTTGTTTTCTCGAAGTTGCTTGCTAAATTACGAGATGTTCATCAATGCCACATACTGTGGCACTACAGTCATGATCCCATTTCTGAAATTCAGTTCAGCTAAACCGGCCAACAAATGACCAGCATGCAACTCAGAAGTTATTTATGAACAAAAACGCTTTAGAAAATGGCAACCACAGGCCATGGTTGCTTTACAATGCTGAAAAAATTAATATAAAACCTTTATACCTAATGGGGTTTTTTTGTTGCACAATACTGGTAAATGTAAGAATTTTGAGTAGGACATGTACAAATTTGAATGGGCTGGGTAAAAATGATAGGTCTACATGCCCGAAGGGCATGTGCTGAAAAAGAATTGTTGTGAAGACTGAACTAAAGCGACAGCGCCGGGTGATCATATAAAGTCCCCTTTATTACATAATAATTTGGCAAATTATCAACACATCAAGCTAAAATTTCCAACATATCTTAATGGTGAGAATTTTTATTTTTTTAGTTGAAACCTCGTGACCTGTGAAAAAAATGAAATTTGTATCCCATCTAAAGTCTTAAAATGTATCTAGGTAATTTTCGATACAAATTTGCGGTTGGGGTTATAAATGAAGGATAAAACCAGAGACCTCGGAATGGAATACTCGGAAGTCTCTGGTTTTATTCTACCCCCAACTGGAAGTTGTATCCCATCTAAAGTTTTAAAATGTATCAAGGTAATTTTCGTGGAATAAATGAGTGCTTTACAATAAAGAGACTCGACCAGAGACATCTGAAACGATTTATTTGACAAGAAAAAAGTCTCTTGAAGCGAACGATGTCATTTTAAAGTAGGTTAATGATTGATAATGATACATGAACAAAATACGAGCTTGAAGCGGGGGTGCCTGAAATTGAGTTAGATACCTTGTGGTAAAAATAAGTAGGGGTGCACCGTATATGAAACAAGTGCCTGTGATTGATAGTCTGAAATTTCTCTTCACCTAAATATTAAAAGCTTGCAGTGATCGCTATAAATCTATACAACAGTCAAGTTACATACGGTAAACTAACATAAAAACAAGATTACAACAGTCATGATTACAGAAGGTACATTTTGAAGACTCTAGGTCAGTAGGTGAATGTAAACAGGTAAACACACGTGGGACAGTCACCACAAATATGAACCACAAAACGACTTATAACATTAAAATGTAAATATTCATCTGCACACAGATTTTGGCATAATAATAATAATTTTTAAAAAGTGTAAATTAAAATATAAAATAAACAAACCTCAAACCTTGTAACAAGGCTTGTTTCCCTACAATCTTATTCTGGTTCTCTGTCACTGAAATGCAGGGAACCAGGCTGCGTTATTAACTCGTACACAGATTTGTTGATACGAATAAACCTACAAACATATGGATACGAAATAAAATATTATCATAAAAAATGAAAAATTTCAAATTGCTTGAAAAATTATCTTTATGTAGTTTATAATAAATGGTTGTAATTGTTTATTAATTTCTATCTATCCATTAAAATTTGATACGTATATCAGCTTAATATGTATCCGTCTGAACAATTATTGTTATTACACTCCCTGTCACATCTTCATAGTTAAGCCTGTAAGCATGGTAAGTAGGAATCAATTTCAGTTGAAGGGGACCAAAACCAAACATTTTTCAGTTTCATACATACGAAATAAAATAATTTCATGAAAAAATGAAGAATTTCCAATTGCTTGGAAAAAAAAGAAGCTTTTCATGTATGTGATTTACAATAAATGGTTGTACTTTTATATTTTCTATATATCCATTAAAATTTCACAGTATCAGTATTTCACTATTTGTAAACATTAACAATAATATTAAATAAATGTTACACTCACTGTGGCTTTGACTGAGTTACTGTCACATCTTCATAATTAAACGAGAATATTCCCTTCCGTAAATATTGCTATATATATCTGAACTGTTACCAATTAATCTTTCTTTGGTGAAAGAAAACCTCAGGGATGGAGAATAGGCCCGTACGTAATTTAGTTGGAGGGGGGGGGGGTGAACACAACCAAACAACATTTTTCAGTTTCAGGTTGGGGGAGGCTACAAACCAAAAATTTTTTAATAAGCAAAAGAAAAATACATTATCAGAGGTTATTATTGAGGGGGCCCAAAAGCAAAAGAAAAAGAGATCATCAGAGGTTATTATTGAGGGGGCCCAAGCATAAAGGAGCAATGTTTTCTATAGTATACCTAAATTTCAGCAAAATTACAGGGGGCCTGCCCCCCCCCCCCCCCCCCCCCCCCCCCCCCCCGTTCCTTCAGCCATGTATTGTATCAAATCTGCTTCACCCTGATTCAGATTTTTTTACGTCATATATATTCTATTAGCAGAGGACCACATTGTATTGATAAACAATTATTAAATTACAGCTATTTTTTTCTTACAGGGTCTGTTTCATTTATACTATATCATGATGATCATGTCCTGCATGATGTTTACAGAAAGTTTAATTTAAATTTTTAAGCTCGAAATAGCTGCGTCAACTTGCGAGACTATTTTTTCAACGTTCGGCCTAATCTTTAAATATTTAATTTGTTTGTGGACTTGCATAAAAGAATTAAAAAATATAGGGGCCTATCATTTAACTTTATTTCGAATTTCCTTCAGGATTTTATATACCGAACTATAGTCTAACGATTATTTAAAATCATACTTTTTCTCTTGAAAGCTAAATTACTAGGCAAAAAAAAAAAACAAAAAAACAAAAAAACAAAAAACAAAAAACAAACGAATGTTTGTCTTGTGTATTCTTAATTACAACTTATTATTGTATCATTTTAGTTACTTACCCAAATTTCTCAACATCCATGGTGTTCAGAGGTCATTTTCTGAAAACTGAAGGGGCATTCCGATGGCATTCGGAACAAATGACGGAAAGCACTTGCTAAGAATTCAAAACATGGTTCATAAATTTACAATATTTTTCCTTTTTAGGTTTTTAACATAAAACATGGAAAACTAAGTTAAAGAAACACTCATTTGAACAAATCAAAAGCGGAAAAAATATATATGCTAGATTTTTTGTTTAATTGCATGTTTTTCATGGTCTCCAAAATGCAGAAAAATTATCCTTTGAAATTATACGTAGGTTATAAATTCTTTTCTTTTTTAGGGAAGATGATAGAAATTAGACAACTTTTGAATGTTAAATAACAGAGTTAAAGATTAATAAAATTTAATGGCAGACTGTTTATCTATAAAAAGACATTTGCAATACTGATGAGGTCAAAATAATAGGGAGACCGAAAAAGGTCGCCTTAATCCAGTGGTCTCCCTAAGCCAGAAAATATATCCTCCTTGGTCTCCTAAAGCCATATGTCATATATATATATATATATATATATATATATATATATATATTATTGGAGTTTTTCTGTCAGTAGTGGTATTAATTCATTTCCCCATGC